AATAAAATAAAATAAAATAAAATAAAATAAAATAAAATAAAATAAAATAAAATAAAATAAAATAAAATAAAATAAAATAGAATAAAAAAAATAAAATGAAATAAAATAATATAAAATAAAATAAAATTATATTAAATTAAATTAAATGAGTTAAAATATAAAGAAATATAATTTAATAAAATAAAATAAATAAATAATAATAATAAAATAAAATTAAATTAAATTAATTTAAATTATAATAATTAAATAAATAAATTGTATAATAAGCCCAACGAAAATCCTCCATCCGACGAACCGACACGAGAGGCAACATCCGCAGTACGGAATATTCCTAGTCATTATTGAGACACGTTTGTTAAGCGTCAAGATTTAAAACAGTTCAGCTACAGAAAAGATACTAATTTAACAGCTAAAATTTAATAATTATGAGATTTTAAAATTTTATTGTTGACAGAATGAAGAATAGTTTTTTGATGCTAAAAAGTGAGTCTGAGAGATCGAAGGTGTTGGAATGAAAATTCAAATTGTAACACCATTGACGAAGGGTTAATTCAATTCATATTTTGTTTTACATAACTTTAATAGAATAGACTAAACTGCCTAGATACACGAGTTAGAACATAAAAGTTTACCTCAGATAAGAGAGGAGAATGACAAATTGTAGATTTAGAAGCTTTAAACTCTTGGTATAGAGTAGAAGATTTATCGAGAGCTCCATTGGAAATATCTTAACACAAAAAATAAAAATTGTTTTTGAACCGACTCCAATTAATCGGAATGAATCTGATAATTAGAGTTCCATATCAGTGAACCATATTCTAATATTGGCATCAGCAAATAAGGTGCTTTCGTCAAAAAGGGGTCTTTGAATTCTTTTGGCCTTCTTATGACATTCTTAGCTTTTACGACAGTGATATTGATATTGAGATGGAAGTTGAACTTATAAATTATGTTAAATAAAATGAAATACAGTGAAATAAAATAAACTTAAATGAAACAAAATAAAATGAAATAAAATAAAATTAATTAAAAAAAAACGAAAAACAATAAATAGATTAAATAATATAAAATTAAATAATTAAAAAAAAATTAATTAACAAAAATAAAACAACGAAAAAAAATTAAATTAATTAAAATAATATAAACTAAGGTAAATTTAAAGGAAATTAATTAGGTGGATAGATAGATAGATTTTAATAAATATAATTCACCACATCTTGACCGACACAAGCTTTTATATATGTATGCTAGTTGTAAAAATTACCATTGCAACTATTGCTGAGTGATTCAATGTATCAGTTAACGTCGCTTACAAGTAAGTTACCTTTTTTTATCGAAATCTGCATTTCGTAGTTCAGCAAATATGCTTGTATGCTTGTTCATCAGATCACAAATTCGGTGAGTCGGTGTGTATACAGTAGTAAATCTGCAGATTTATGTTATATTTAATCAATAATTCTCTTTTTTATATTTTCCGTGTGATGTGAATGGGGTGTTATAATAATAACGGTAAGCTGCAATAATTAAACAAATGATATAATTATTATGGTTTTATAAAATCTACGGCAACAAATGAATTTCTAAATTATTATTTCGATTGATTTTAATGAATGGTGGAGACTGACTGATTGAGGGGTGGGAAGCAAATATTTGGAACGCTGAAGATATTTTGCCTTCAACGATGTTTTTTCCAATAATTTTCTTAGCTTATTTTTGAAGTATTTTGCGACAAAAAGACTCAATAGTAGGTTTTGCAATTTTAAGTAAAAAAAATTTCGGTGGACTTGACTGTCTCATTTTATAAGGATTTATTATCCACTATTTCATTTTTGCTTAAATAATTGTTTTTAAAAGTTTTATCAGTATAGTCAATTCGTCAGCGATAAAAAATTCAAGATAACTTTTTTTTTATGAAAATTACCTAACTCATGAATAAAATAGATGAAAGCAATTCAAATGTAATTTAAAAAAATAAAATAAAAATAAAAATAAAAATAAAAAATAATTTAAACGCTAAGCTAAAATTCGTTATTTCTGCATTTATGCATGAAAACGCAACTTCACACTCAATTAAATGCTATTTCCTTTTATTTCACCATGACATTTATAATTGACTTTTGAAGTAAGAAACTCAAGCCACAACAAAATGCTGGGATATGTAATTTTTCGTATTCAAGTGGAAAGTCATTCACCTTTTTTTTTTCTTAAAAAGGCAATGCGTAATATAAATTAAAAAAAAACTAAGCAACAAGTAAGAAATAAAATAAAGTAAGCAAAAGAAGAAAAGATATAAAAATGATATTAAATAAAAATTTGAAAAAATTAAATAAAAAAATGGCGACATGAAAAAAAATAAAAAAATAAATAAAAGCAAAAATTAAAAATATAAAAAAAATAAAGGAAAAAAATTTGCCAATTACGCAGCACAAAATTTGTTCATTTAAAAACACTTTTACCTACTTACCAAAATGAAAGTTCCTGCCAAAATTTCCAAACGAGTTCACTTCCCTGAGCAAGCACTTTGCACCTGCTGTAGGGAAATTTCTGTGTAAGCAAGTGTGTGGATGTGTGTGTGTTGTATTTGCCATGATATTGCTTTTGTAAGCGGAAGTGTGACACAGTTTTGTACAAGGAAAAAAAATACTCATGTAGATCATCTAAGTGTACTTATAAGTATATTTGACTGTGTGTGTTCAAGTATTTGTATTTGTATTTGTATTTCACATCTGCTCTGCTGCTGAAACTTTCTTCATCGTCGCTGGTTGCTGCTTCATATGATATTTGCATTGGGTGTAAAGAGTACACATGACTGCACTGCATGGTGTAGAGAGTTCAAGTGTACATGTGTGTATGTGTGTTTGTATTTGCTTAAGTGTGTAAAATTGCGAGGATATGTGAGGAAACCACAATTGCGACCGCCACTCCGAGTTGCCAAAGGTGACTCTGCCACTTGTTCTTCTTCTTCTTTTCTTGCTTTTGTCACTACTGCTTCCAACTGACTTTCGTTTGTTTGTTTATTTGTTTATTTATTTGACTAGTTGTTGTTGTTTGATTGTTTGCTTTAACTGCTTTCTTTAGCGCACGATCTTCCTTTCATATAAATCAACGTGTGAGGAAGACGTGCAAACATCAATGGGAACGCTAAGCGCGTGAGGTTGGGAGGTGTGAAGGTACTTTTAATGTTGTTGTTATTACTGTTGATTACTGATTTCTACATGCTATGTATCTCAGATGTATGCTCCATTTGTTGAGTAGTATCTGTGAAGACAAGCGCGAGAAAAAAAAAATAAAAAAATAACAAAAATTTAAAAAACATCGTTATTTTGTGGTTTTTATTATTGTTATTTTCATTTGCACATTTCTTTCTCTTTATCTTTCTCTCTCTCAAACATATGCGTGAACTACTCTGCACACATGCATTTACATAAACGGAAGTGGCGCTTGTAAGACACACACTTCAGTCACAGCCACTTCTGTTCAAATGCATGCACTTCTTCAATTTCTTCTTCTTCTTCTTCTTCTTCTTCTCCACCGCTCAGCTCGACTCACCTCGTTTGCAAGTATTGTAGCGTGTCGATACGAATGTAACGACCACGCTACTCAACTACTCTCAAAATCATATTTTCCCACTGCGGCTGTGCAATGTGCGCTTACGTCCGCACAGTATCCGCTGGAAGGCGCGTCGGAACTCCGGATTGAAGATGGTGTAAATGATGGGATTTAGTGTAGAATTGAAATAGCCCAGCCAGAGGAAGAGTGAAGTGAGTACACTGCTAATGTGACATTCCTTGCAGAGCGACAGCGTCAATGCCATGACGAAGAAGGGTAACCAACAGATAGCGAAAGCGCCCGTTATGATCGCCAGTGTTTGTGCGGCTTTGCGTTCGCGTTTCGCTTCGAGCATTTGTCGGCGTTTTGTTAGTTTGTGGTAAGGATTCGGTATGCTCGCCAATAATTTGTTGGTTGTTGTGTTGTTGCCTTGTTGCTTGTCTTGCCCCCTCGTGTTGCTGTTGCTGCCGACGGCATTGGGGCAAGCTGTTGCCACGGCCAGATGTTGTGCTGAGGTGGTTAGTGTGATGGCGATGGCCTGTTGTTGGTGTGCGGTGCTCGCCACCTCCTGGGAGACGGTAGAAATTTCGCCGAGTCCAGAGACTTGGGACTGTAGCGCAGTTGAGGGGGAGAAGAAATTACGTAAATTAAGTGTTTGTTGGCAATAAAATAGTATTTTAACTCGACTTAAATATATAAAAATTAATATTTTTTAATAATTCTTTATTATTTACAACTGAAAATGAAGAAAAGTGTTTCTTGAATGTGCGAGACTTAATAAGTAAGAATTTATAAGAACTAGAATAACCGACCAACCAACCAAGTAACCGAGCATGCCATCAGGGTTAGAGCATTATTACTGGAAATTTGCAAATATTAGTAATATAATAGAATGTGGGAACGCTCCAACCAACAGCAGTATACGACTATAGTGGGTTTAGGGGAAGTTCCGTGAGTGACAAAAAATCCAAGTTTTTACGATGGATTTCGTCTTTTGTTTTAGGTCTTACGCCTTATACAAGTAAATTCTTCAATCGCAAGCCCACAGGGACCACTTAGGGTTTGCTCTAAATAGTCACTGATTAACTTCTTCACAGCCAGACTTATAATTTCGAAGAGAAAAGAGTGAATCCTTAGAACTTCTTCGCATAAAGAGATGCTTCAAGTTTTTTTACGTCGTCTTATCAAGTTTTTTAATATAAAACTACTGTTCTCAAGTTGGCCGCTAGATGATTCTACTCTTACGTAGCTGTACATAAATACATTGTTTTTAAGCGGGAAGTTTAATGCGTTTTTAGTGAAAAGAATCTGTTAAATCGTGTTTAGCTCAGAAGTTACAGTTTCGTTCGTAGATATTTGGGAAACAGCCTCTTCTATTGAATACCTTCAGTGGAGATTAACATAATTTATAAAATTAAATTTAAAAAAATTTACAGGCCCTATGTGCACAGACATGATAAATTCACCATCTTGCTAATTTATCAAGATTTCCCTATTCTGTGTCACAGATAAAAAGCTCGTTTCTTGATAAATTGGCAAATTGTAAAAATCTTTTGAAATTGTTTTTTTTTTTTTTTTTACAAATAAAACAACTTTTTACTGTTTGTTGTTGTTTGTGCATAATTTTGGATAACTAATTTTTTAGAATGGAATATAGTATACATTTTAACTTATATTATTGTTATTGGGCGAAGAGGAAAATTGCGAAAATAGAGATCGCTTGCACCACTTGAGAAGAAGAAATGCTAGTTATCCATTTCCATTAAGAACTAACCCATTTTCCAGAAGTATTCCTTTGACCAGCGAAATTTGCTGTCATCTCTTAGAGGAACTGTTCCCAAATGATATCCAAAAAAACCTCACTGTCTTTATCCATAAGAATGCTGATGGCTTTAAACTTCTTTGGATATGGCGCATACCAAAACTTGCCCTTGAACCAGTCGTCTCTTTCCAGAAGTTTGCTTGTTGTAAAATTGAAGGGGGTGGAGGTTAAAATTTCCCAGTTCGGCAGAGGAAGAAACTAATGTAAAAACAGGGTATGTATGAATGCAAATCTATCTGAAATGTATTCCGATTTCTTAGAAAATTTGGCATGAAAAACACTATAGGAGCAATTGACTGCACACATAGTACAAATTGTTATTGTTGCTCCGTCGTCAAATAATCCTTTTAATTTATTTTTACATAAATAGAAATGTGTTCTATAGCATCATTGTTGAAACAATAAGTTTTGTTGTATGTTTGTTGAGCTAATGCGATCTTTAAGTGGTCTCTTCCTTAGGTTTTATTTACTGTTTCACTCTTCTTAACGCAAAATTCCCGGGAACCACACATGACTGTGGAATTTGGGCAACTTGCAACCTACGGGAGCATGTCCTTCGTCAGCTCGCTGATATGTCCATATAAAAGCAGAGATAATCTTGCCTTATTGGTGATCAAGGTTATCCTCTAGAGCAGGGTCTTCTATTGCCAGCTGAAGAACCTAAATCTTCTAAAGCACTAAAGCACAAAAATGTATAAAAAAAAGCGTTTGGTGCTTCAAAATCGCAGTTTAGGTGTTTGCTGAAGCACCGATTTTTAGTTCATCCCTTTGGTTATTAAATTAACAAAAAGTCAAAATTTTCACAGCTGACTTTGATTGAATTGTATTACATATTTTCTTATTTATTTTTCCTTTATTCTAAGCGAAATAAATATAAGCAAAAAAGCAGGGCATGAAATGTTCGATCCCTTAAGCGGAAAAATGCTGCTGATCTCCTCGAACTAAAGGCTGGCATAACCGTCGTCCACGAAGAGCGGTTGACGAGACATGGACTGAGGAAGGTCTGTACTTGTGACATCTACTACATCGGCCATATAAAAGAAGGCTTATTTGGTGTCAGATTCGTGGTGAGAGATATACTCCTGGTTGACGTTCTTATTTTACCATAATCCACATAAAAGTGAAGTTTGCGCCCGCGCCCCGACGAATGCGAAAGACGATTTGGCCAAAGATGCCCTTTATGAGCGCCTAGAGCGTACTTGCGAACGCTGAACGGTGGCACGATGTGTGGCGACTTTAATGCCAGGGTGGGCTTTGATACGATTGTTGGAGAACTCAGCTTCCACAAGGAAATATCCTCAAATGGGTTGAGGTCGATTGATTTCGCTGTGGCCCGATATATGATGCATGCAGTGCTAAATGCAAATAGATGAGTAGTCAAAACCATATCGATGATGTTTTGATAGACGGAAGACATGTCTCTGGTATCCATGACGTACGTGCGCTCTAGGGTCCAATATCGAACTCTATTTCGAAGCAACAAGAGCACGCACTCGTCTCTGTGCATAGAACGCCCGTCAATAAACATAAGGAAGGCTCCACGTTAAAAAGCTGCAAACTTAACAGACTGCAAAGCCGTTTTCTACTCGACTTGCACTTTTGCTCTCTGAGAGCACTCATCAGCAGCTCGGTATACGGGACGGCATTTCAGGCTCCTTATGTACAGCTGCTAACGAAACTATTGATTTTCGAAAAGTTCGGGAAGCAGCAGTAGACAAAGCAGACTGCCTAGCTCACAACCATGCGATCGACCACAACACGTGCGGGGTGGGATAGATATCGAGAGCTGAAGAGTGAAGTAAAACGCATTTGTAGACTAGAAAAGAAAGAAGCCGAGATGCGTGAGTATGAAGAGCTTGAGAAGCTCGCCGATGAGCGTCAATTACATCGACAGATGTGAAACATTTCCAACGAAATAGGTAATCGCTTCCAAGAACGGCTCTAATTATTTTGTACCCCAAAATTTTCAAGGCTTTAGTGGAACAATAGAACTTTCATATAATTTTAAGTGTAAAAGAGCCAAATTTTTTATACGCAATTTACCATTTTGAGGTTGCGAAAAAATTCCTTTTTGGTTAGCCTGATATGTAGATATGAAAATTTATACCTACTGCACTCTTAATGCCAACACAGTTATTAAACCGCAATATATGTCTACGCAAATTTCCATTTATTCAATATTTTAATGCCACTCACCTCCTCCGCCTCACCCGATGCCGTTGTCAACTCGGTCGCATGACTTTTGCTATCGAAATTGCTCGTGCTGTACTCCGTCTCCTCGCGCATATTGCTAATGCTAAGCGAATTGCCGACATTTGTTTCCATATTAGCGCCAGCTCCACCACCCCCAACGTCGGCGCCGGTACCAGCAGCAGCATTAGCGCCAGCAACAGCAGCAGCATTTTGTTCAGCTTTGCCAAAACATATTTTTAGGCGTTTACGTTTGCGTTGTTGCAAGGAAGTCGTGGAGTTTTTCTGAAAAATAAGAAATGTGTGTGAAAAAGTTTTATAAACTCAAAGCATTAGCGTATTAAATTATTGATTTTAAATTTAGAAAAAAATAAAAATAATAAAAGAAAAAAATGTTAATATTAAATACAAAAATAGAATAAAAAGAAACTTTGAGAAGAGGTAGCATAATTTTACTTCATAAGTGTATTTATATATGTAAATACTCCTAGAAATTTGTTGGTTTCCGCTTAAATCGATTTAGTATATTTTTCTCCCACTAATGCGCTCAGCTTGCGCCTGTGGGAGTTGCTTGTCATAATAACTTCCGATAAGACATGTTGAAGCTGGTTGGGTAAAGATAATATTTAGCCTTACAGCTGTTGCTGTTGATTTGCTTTTGCGGCAAAATTAAATAAATAATACAGTTATACATGTAAATTAGTAGCGTGGAGTGCTTAAGTGTATTTTGGTAAATTAAAAATATAAAAAAAAAAATATTTTTATTATACGTTTTTGTTACTTTGTATGCTTTCAGCTTGCCACAGTGCGCAAAAATTATGTTTGTTTCCAAACACACACACGCCTGACCTGCTGACCTTTGCCCTATGTTTGCTGTTCTCTACCTCTCCTCTACCTCTGGGCGTTGAGCAAATAACTTGTGATCTGTCTGTTTTTAATTTATATTCATATTTACATTGCTTTGTTGGCAGCTACATATATGTATACTCGTACATATATTTGTATGTGCATATGAAATATTACTTGGTTGGTTGCTTGAGTGCATACTCAAGTCGCCTAATGCATTCTTCTTGAAGTGGCTTCATTACTTCACTTAATGACACACTTGTCCAAAATAACGAAAGTATGTACGTGCGTATGTACTATACATGCATATGCAGATTTATATGTAAACATACATAAATGCGGATGCATACTGTTTTTCGTATACAAAGCAAGACTAAAAGTGAGAAGTAATAAACTGCCGTTGGCTGGCCATGTGGAATGGCTTTATACCCTTTTCGTTTCACAAATTTGTACAATTAAAAAAATAAAAAATAAATATATTAATTTTAATTAAATTATTAATATTTTTATTTTGGATATATTACTTAATAAAAAATTCTTGAACTTATAATAAAGCATTTTCATTTCATTTATCATATAATTTATTGTTTAAAGTGCAGGTTTTTTAAAAATAAAATATACAAACCGAGAATTTAATAAAAAAAAAACTATTTTAGTTTCAATATTTAGATAAAACTATTTTGATTTTAATTAATATTTAAACATTTATGTCATTTTATAAAAAAAATAAAACTGTATCTGAGTATGCAAATATGTTTATTACTCATTGTTTAAATTGCAAAAATTTAAAAATATAATAAAAATAACAAATAAAAAATGAATTGAAAAAAATTAGTTTCGGTTCAATTACTACTTTATGCAATATTTTCGACACAATAAAAATAGATAAAAAAATTATTTTGTTGTTAAAATTTATTTATTTTAATTAATAAAACTACTTTTTTTTGGATATTAATTAAAAAAAATAAATCTGCAATTTATTTCAGGATTTAATTTTTTGCTTAAACTGCAGAAATTTAAAACTAAAATAGAAATAAAAATAAAAAGTAAATAATAAAAAATAATAATTTTATTTTTAATTATCGTTTTGAAACGATTGCTTATTATTTAATAAAAAAATGTCTTGTTTTTGGAATTAAAAATCTCAATTTTATTTAACATGCAATATATTGCCTAAAAACTGCGGGATTTCAAACAAATAAATTTATTTTAAACTTAATTATTGAAATTATACAATATTTTCGATGCCATAAAAATAAACTAAAAATTCTTGGATTTGGAAAAAAGTATTTTGATAAGCTGAAAGTAAGCTGCAGATTTTAAACAAGAATAATTTTTCTTAACTATAAGGGACTTCGTAAATTTTGAATAATATTCTGCGCAATTTTTATTTATATATTACATACGAATATATTCAATAAATATTTATAAAGTTTCATGAAAATATTTGTTTAATTGATGGAGTTATATGGACGTGGGTGACGTTATGGATGGGATTTTGATTATTTTCAGTACAAGCCTTATTTAAGTAATATATAAAGCGCTTACTGCATTTTGTGCTTTTAGTTTTAAAATTACATGAATTATTGCCAAAAACGCGTTTTTGAAAAATTATTTGTATGCGCGATCTATGTGGGAATCATCGCAATAAACTGATCTTTATTGTAAGTGCTCTAACAGTGTTGAATATGAAGAATTCTACGCTAGTGAGTATTAAACTTGAGCAGTTATATTCGAAAAATTCGTTTTTTAAAATATTTTTGTATGAGAATTACATTAAATAAAAACCAGATTTTGGCACTTTTGAGCTCTTTGTATGCTAGATATTTAAAAGCACACTCTCAGTCTTCTCTTTGGTTAATTTGTGCTCAAACGCTTTATTTTTGAGTTGACGTTTGTATGGCGGCCATGCTTTTGGGTCGTGCGATTTGAATAATTTTCAATGAAAACTTTTTGTAATTTTTGAGAAAACTAATAACAAAATTTCGCGCTAATAACTGCTTCATGGTAGAGTTTATGGCAAGAAAACGTATTTTCGAGTAATATTTTATATGATAGCCATATGTTGTTGTTGTGCGATTTTGATTTTTAAATTCAAAAACTTACTGTAGCTGCAGTACAAGTTTTTAATTTAATTTTATTAGCTAACTATTCGGAAATTATAATCGAAAAATATCAGGTGTACAACTTTGCTTCCGCCGTTTTCCGATAGGTGGCTGTACCGGCTGAGGCTGGTTGAAATACATAGATGATAATGCCTTTAAAGTGAGTATGGACAGTGCCTAACGAATTGTCATCGCCGTTTCAGTGACAGTTGTTCTTGCTTTCGCATCATTCACGCTCGAAAATGTCCGTTTATGTGCCTAATTCTCGCCATTTGTGGGAAGTTTTACTTTTCTGTTACAATTCGAAAAAAAATTCAGCTGAAGCACATCGAATGCTCTCAGAAACTTACGGTGATACTGCTCTGAGTGAAAGAACATGTCGGGAGTAGTTTCAACGTTTTATAAATGGCGATTTCGATGTCAAAGACAAACATGGTGGTGATTTGTATTAGGTGAGATCAGCTCGGTGTGATTTACTACGAGCTCTTAAAACCGGGTGAAACCATCACAGGAGATCGCTACCGAACGCAACTGATGCGCCTTAGTCGCGCGCTTAAAGAAAAGCGGCCACAATATGAAGAGCGGCATGACAAAGTCATCCACCAAAACGACAATGCTCGGCCTCACGTCGCAAAAGTGGTCAAAATGTACCTGGAAACGCTGAAATGGGAAGTCTTGCCCCACCCACGTATTCCCCAGATGTCGCCCCTTCTGACTTCCACCTATTCCGTTCGATGGCTCACGGCCTGGCAGATCAACATTTTCAATCCTTCGAAGAATTGGAAAAATGGATTGCTTCATGGATAGCGTCAAAAGAGGACTCCTTTTTTCGAGCCGGGTTACGAAAATTACCGGAAAGATGGGAGAAAGTTGTCGCTAGCGAAGGACAATACCTTAAATAATATATCTGTAAGCACTTTTTCGCAATAAAGCTTTTAATTTTGGAAAAAAACGGCGGAAGCAAAGTTGTACACCTGATACGTTTTTAAATAGTCGCTGGTACGAAAACTATGCGTTATTGGCGTTAATTTCGAACCAGATACTAAGCTTTTAATACACTATTGGGTAAGTTTTTGATACTTTGGCGATTAGGGATTGTTTGATTATTTTAAATAAAAAAATCTATTATAATTAAAAAATTAATCTCAAAATTTAATTATTATGGAATCTTTTGATTTTTTTATATACTAAATTTCATGCCAAAATTTTATTCTTATTTCTTCATCATGAAGGGAAGTTATCACAGCTTAACACACATATACATAAGCCAGCCGCCTGGCACGAGTAATAACTTCACACAATCGTCTGTTGCTGCAACAGAAAGAAATTTCTCTTCTCTCATTCCTCTTTGCTCCTTCTTTTTGTCGTTAATTTTTTCGTTTGCTTCCTTAGCACAAGTATGTTTCTTTTGGTTTTCTTTTTTGTTTTGTTATGCAATTCTTACACTCCTCTCTTCTGTACATTTGCTGAGTGTACTTTTACTAATTTATGAGATCTGTTTGCACTTTGTATGCGAGTAGGCTTGTAATCCATATGAAAACTTTCTTATACTTGCACTTGTACAATATGGATATATGTATGTGTGTGTGCAAGTTCATCATATATGACAAAAGAAAAATTTTTGCTAGCCGATTTCTCGTGCACTTACCAAAAATTGTACTGCTCAAGTGCTTGAGTGTATGTTTGTAGTATGCGGAATGATAAAGCGAAAGCACTTGAGAAGGCAACAAAGTGGAATTTAAATTGCATACGAAAAAAAAATACAGAAAATTTGGGTATAAACAATAAAAATTGCGCTGCAGCTACTGGTGGAGTACTATAGTTCCAAAGTTTTGTTAGTCACATACACAGGATGCTTGCAAAATAAGACCTTAATTTTATTTTTTTATTTTTATTTAATTTTTTTATATTAATTATTTTTATAATTAAAATTTGTCTTTATAATTTTGATTTAAAACTTTTGAATTTGTTTAAAATTAAATTTTTTTATTTTTAATTTCTCATATTTTATATTTTTCTTTTGTTAAAATTTTTTTATTTATAGCTTCATTTGATTTTTTTAATATATTTAATGACCTCCCTTCGCCGTACCACACATGAGATTTAATTTAGCAATAAATACGAAAATTACGATATTTATTATTGAGAGTGATAAGGTTAATATAAAACTACGGTATAGAGAATTAACATTTTTTCCCGCTTTTGGGTCTAATATTAAGAAATAAAAATTAAATCTCATACGAGTATTTTCGGTGAAGTTTTGTCTACTTTAACGACTATAGTAATTTCAAGCAAATATTCTCACTGTTAAAAATGAAGTTCTTAAACTCAACCAACTCATAAAGCTAAATAAAAATTTATATTAAAATTTTACAAACGGAATTGTAAAGACATAAACTTAAAATTGCAAAATTCTTCTATAAAAGTTGCGTATACGCCATGACGCTGTGAGCGCATAATAAAGTCATCAAGTTTAATGCAGCATATACCGCTGTTGAGAAGTTTATAGCAGAATATGTGTGTTCATAATTAACACGTCAGCAGCAAGCTTTAAAAATAACTCAATATATATGTATGTGCAATACATATGCGCTTTCTGCAGCGCAACTTGAATTTGTCGCACGTGTTGGCAAGCAATCTGTTGAGACCGTGAGTCTCAATAATAAAACGCCGGCACGAACCCGCAACCCAATCCAAAATAAAACGAAACGAATATACGTTCACCATAATTGTTTTGTAACGATTGGTTTCGTTCCACGTTTACTCAAGTGGATATAATGCTCATCCTCAGAAGCATTGCACAGTACGACCAGCAAACTCTATTGCAAATAAGAACTTTCTCAACTCGTGCTATATTCACTTTATGGAAAGCTTTACGGAAGGATCTGAGATTGTATGACGAAATTTCTTTATTATTTCAATGAGTTTTTACTTTGCATAAATAAATTAAAAACTATAAAAAGAAGTTTTCAGAAAAAGGCGTCAAATGAAGCGGGTTTGTCTGTATAAGATTTGACATAGCCCCACAAAAAATAGGCTAAAGGCGTCAAATCGCACGATCTAGGCGGACAATAGACTGATCCCTAAAGTGAAATGAAATGTTCACCAAACTGCTCTCTCAAGAAGTCCATTGCGATGCGTGCTGTGTGGCATGCGGCACCGTCTTGTTGAAACCAAATATCATGCAAGTCAAGCTCTTGCATTTTGGACAAAAAAAAAGGTTTGATATCATCTCACGGTAGCGCTCACCATTCAGAGTGACGTTACGATTCGCATCATCTTTGCAGAAGTACGGTCCAGTGACGCCACCAGCCTATAAACTGCCCCAAACTGTGCCTTTTTCTGGATGCATTGGTAGCTCTTGCCATGCTTATGGCTGATTTTCACCCCAAATTTGAAGGCTTCGCACTTAAATCCTTTCAGCAATGAATCGATAATTGATAGTCAGTCCGATACAGCTGCGATAATTTCATCACTTCACGCTCTACGTAGGCATCTGGTAGTCTAATGTCTAAGAATGCAAATTTGGTGCGAAATTTAGTTACAAAGCCCGAATAGCCGCTTCAGTGGGTCGATTAAACTAAAATGGAAGAAGCGCACGATGAACTTTCCTTACAGGGAACGCGCTTTGATAGAAAATATCAATAAATTGCAAGTGTTGTTCGTTTGTAAGACAATTCATGGTTAAATTATAGACCAAACTGAAGATGTTTTACAGTAATAAGAGGCACGAAACATGCGTTTGCTGCTTAAGCCAGTGTTGCCAAAAAAATTGTTTCAAAAGATCCACCTGAAATTTCACTGTCTATTATTCGTGGATTATCACCAGCGAACTACATCAAATACTCAATCCTGTTTTTAATGTCAGTTATTGGAAATGTGGAACAACATAATTTCAATTGATCGGGCTTCCATGGCGACTACAGCACCAGATACACGGATATCGAGCACTGTGAGCACTTGATACTCGCTCCATACTGATTCGTTGCTCAACTGCTCAAATAATAGTTTCAAATACCTACCCGATAACTTCTGTAGGTTCATGTGGTCTGAGCGATCAGATGTCTCCGATCTCAACTACACCATTCAGTCCAACATTGAAAGCGAATCTCTCACAAATATTATTAGTCTACACGTGTATATCCGTGGTGGAAGCAGATGAGGCAATATATTATCCAACAGAATTTTTGAATCATTTGGAATCATTGAGGGTCTCACCTTACGTAAAAAATTTGAAAATCGATAATCGTTGTGCTCATTATAATGTTGCGGAATATAAATCAGCGGGAGCTTAGCAACAGCGCATGACTTTCAATAATAAAATAAACGACGAATGGAAGCAACACTTTTGAAGGTAAGATATTCTCAACTCAGGCAACTACAGTTCTCTACTCGACAAGCATTTCCAATCACTCTCAGCCAGGCTCAGAAGGAAATAATTGCTTTGCATAAAGACCATTGTATGTTGAGTGTTGAAGGAATAGCAGACCAAAGAACTTTTTCATTTGCGTAACATTTTTCATGAGCCTTCTTCGTAGAAGCCCCCCTCCTTATTTGTGAAGAATTCGGAAAGCTACTTTTCACAAGCCTCTTTTGAGTTCAACTTCACACCACCAAGGGCATTCCCCATGGACAGGAACAGGTGGTAATCACTTGGCGCTACGTCCGGGCTATATGGTGGATGTGATAAAACCTCCCATCCGAGCTTCCGTAGCTTCTGACGAGTCATCAACGAAGTGTGTGGTCTGGCGTTGTCCTGGTGGAACACTACACCCTTCCTGTTGGCCAATTCTGGACGCTTCTGGTCGATCGCCTGCTTCAAGCGGTCCAGTTGTTCGCAGTAGATGGTAGAATTAAGCGTCTGGCCATATGGGAGCAGCTCATAGTGGATGATTCCCTTCCAATCCCACCAAACACACAGCAAAACCTTCCTGGCCGTCAATCCCGGCTTGGCCACTGTTTGGGACGATTCACCGGCCTTCGACCACGACCGTTTTCGCTTGATATTGTCGTATGTGATCCATTTTTCGTCGCCAGTCACCATCCGCTTCAAGAATGGGTCGAGTTCGTTCCGTTTCAGCAGCATATCGCAGGCGTTGATTCGGTCCAGAAGGTTTTTTTGCGTCAAATTATGCGGCACCCAAACATCAAACTTTTTTTTGTATCCAGCCTTCTGCAGATGGTTCAAAATGGTTTGGTGACTAACTCCCATCTCCTGGGCGATGTCACGAGATGCCATATGCCGGTCTAACTCGATGTATTCCATGATTTGATCGGTATTTGTCGTCACAGGTCTTCCGCCGGCTGGCTTATCCATGGTGTCGTTTTCACCGGCTCTGAATCGTCGAAACCATTCCTCCGCGGTTCGAAGTGATAGAGTACCATCCCCCAAAACACCATTAATCTCACGGAACGTTTCTCTAGCGGATTTGCCTTTAACGAAGGAAAACTTTAAAATAGCGCGAATTTCGGCGTTAGTGAACTCCATGTTTACACGTCTATAACTGTTGAACGCAATATCCAAACTAATCATGCATAGCGTTGTTTTGTAGGTTATGTCAAGACCTTTCAAATTATGTATAGTGTTGCCAGATACGAACTCTGTAGCGCTTTGTACATAGCCGCGAAATTCAAAAGACAAAAAAGCGGAAGGGGGATATTTAAGAACATAATATTATTTTGGATGTTCGTCCGACCTGGATGCGAACACGTGGTCTTCCGAATGTTATTACGCACTGCTAACTCCTCGGCTTTTAAAAGCTGATATTAAACTGAGTATGGTAAATACCAAGGGAAAAATAGCTCACTAGGTGACACCACAGACGAATTATTTGCATTTTACGGTCTACTTAAAAGAGCCATTGATATAAGGAAAGTACAAATATTTGTTAAATCCAACACATTAACCTACTTAAGTACATAAGAATGCCATTTAGTGCATTAATAAAATTTAAATCCTACAATTGACACATTTGCGGTTGTGGGATAATTTTGTGGTTGAGCATTAAAATGTTTCATTGCACTAATGACGCAATTATCATCAAACAAATCAGACAGAAATGATTGGCTTCAGTGGCATGTCGCTTTTATGGGCTGCAAGACGACTGTTTAATGTTTATATAATATGAAGTACAAAAAATGGGTCAAAGAACAGTTTACGCATTGAGGTTTGAAAAAAAAAAAAGATTATCAAATTCGCTCAATTACAATTTATATGTATGCACATATCTACAACTACGAGCAACATCGTAAATTGATTTTATGCCAGCCTTTGTGCAACCAATGCCATTGGCAATACATTTGCCTATAGATATGTGTGTGTGTTTATGTGTCTACATACATATATAGAAGAGAAGGTAGAGAGCGTGGGGGCGTTTCGTACAATTTGTGCCGAGGCATCGACATTGCTCAGTGGCTAACAACACACACACACACACACACACAGACACATAAACGTACCTCTATGGAAGCCGCAATTGAATAGCAGCGATTCTATTGCATTTCAATGGCTGAACGCTTTCAAATTGCAGTAAATGCAACCCAATGAGTCAATGAGTTTGGGTCACGGGCAATTTCAATGAAATCAGCTGTGAACTGTGGCAACAACCACCCTGAGGGTAGGGGGAGTGTCGAGATCGAATGATGAATGGCTACCTGTAGGCGCCATTGGAAGCGCTATGTGTGCATCACATTTCATGAGGTTGTATATTAGTGTGTGTGTGTGTGTGTGTGTGTGTTTCTCGTTTGAGCCAAATACACGTGACACAATAAAGGGATGGGGGTTCGGTGGTTAAACCTAATTGTTCGAATTGTTTCAACATCCTCAAAAGCACTGCAATATTGAATACCAGGAAGACTTAATCATTTGCCAGCATCTGCAGGTGAAATAGTCGCAGCAACAGTGCAGTGTTTAGGAATAGCAGAAAAATAGCTGACAAAAATAATGTATGCCGAAGCTAGTGGCCGTGCCGTTCGCAATTGTTGCACGTCGTTATGTCACTCACCCGATTATGATTTGCTGGCATTGCAAGTGAACGCTGCTGGATGCGCCGTTGTATGCGTTTGCGAGCTATTTTGTAAATTTTCCAATAGAGTGCCAGGATGACTAAAAGGGGCACATAAAATGTGCAACATGTTGCAAAAATCTGTAAATAGAAAATATGAAAATTTCGATGAATCAATATGAAAATAGCCATAGTTCCTTTTACACAACGCTATACGTTACTACTTTATCTTCATATGTACGTATATGTGTGCATGTAAGTGTATAGGTAACTATATGCTCACCTGATACCCCACATCCTGTGAAACCATGCATTTTTGTTCCTCAATGCGTTGCATATATTCCGGATCCTTCCAGCCGAGCAGCGGTGCCAGTGATATTATCAGCGCTGTGAACCAAACACAGAAGATCATGCAGAAGACGCGGCTGGGCGTTCGTACGTTGCTGTAGTCGATATTCGTGACGGTCCAGTATCTGAAAAAGAAAAAAAAAATTCAAGGGAAAATATGAAATTTAGAATAAGGATAATCGGTCTCCGAGACTGAATAGTTTTTTGAAGGTCCTTAAAATTCTGCGCAAGGCATAATGTCAAAAAAAAAAAAATAACTGAAAAAATCAGCTAAAAGTATCACTTTGCGTCAAAAATTTTTAAATGAGTTTTATTCTAATTTGAAGCGAGAAAATTCTTATATTTTTCAGTACGTAATTTTTAAGGCATTCAAGTAGCCATCTTTTCTATTTTAAATTTTTTTTGCAGTTTTTTAAGGTTTGATATCTTGGAACTATTTCGTGAAATTTTTAAGTAAAGCCAACAATTAGTTTTTGTATTATTTGACAATTAAGAGATGCTCTAGGGTGGTCCACAAGGTTCGTATCTTAATTTAAATGCGCTTTCCCGACAAAAATGCTTACGAGACTGACTCAGTGGATTTTAATGAAATTAAATTGTTTTCTATTTTGGAGGAAAATTAGGTCAAGAAAGAAGACTGTTCGGGTTTTATTGATTATGAATATGATAACTTTGTGTACATTTGTCCGATTGAAGTCAAATATGCGCCGAGATACCAACTTCAATATACCCCTCCAGTAGAAGGCTGCTTGCCTATTGGTAAAAAACATGGAGAGCCAATTCTCACAGGCATCTCTTGAGCCCATGGACCAGAAAAGATAGTACGGACTTGGTGCCAGGTCCGGACTATAAGGTGGGTGCATTAGGAATGCCCATCCGATCTCCTAGAGCTTCTGGCGCGTCACCAAAGACGTGTGTGACCTGGCGTTGTCCTATTGGAACACAATTCGGCCTCTGTTCGGCCATAGGGGAGCAGTTTGTAGTAGACGATTCTTTCCCAATCCCACCAAACACACAGCAAAACCTTCCTGGCCGTCAAACCGGTCTTGGCCACCTTCTGAGCCGCCGACTGTTCGCGCGCGATGTTGTCGTAAGTGACCCATTTCTCATTGCCAGTCACAGTTCGCTTCAGAAATGGGTCAACTTTCTGGCGATTCAGCAGCGATTCGCAGATGGAAATTCGGTCCACTTTTTTGGCGTTAGTTCGTGTGATACCCAAACATCGAGCTTCTTTTTGAATCCAAGGTTATGCAAATGGTTCCAAACGGTTTTCTGGCTTATTTTTAGCCTCTCAGCAATTAGATAAGTGCTCACGTGACGGTCAATTTCCACTATTTCCATGATTTTATCGCAATTTTCGAAGACAGGCCTCCTGACGCGTGGTGCATCTTTGACATCGAAATTACGGGAACGGAACCTAGAAAACCACTTTTGTGCTGCACGTTCGTTTACAATATCGGGCCCATAAACTAAATTATTTCGAAAATGTCAAACTGCATAAAACTGCAAATGAACAGTTGAAAAAACATCATCGATTCCCGGGTGCTCCGTTGTTCTGCTTTATATGGTGCGATGCTACCTGATTTGTCATCAGCTATCTTGGATGGGTCGTCAAAAGGGAGACAGCATAAAACTTTCACAATCTAGCATGACTGTGTTTCCACATGGTGGTCCATAACTCTTTCTTCTTCTATACTCCGCTGTTATGAAGAATCACAACTCTTACTTTATTCAGGCTGTCCGCACTTTCCATTAGCGTTTGCTTCAGGTTATCTCTCTTATCTCATGAAAGCTAGGGTTTTCAAAAGTTTTGGCAAATTTTGTGTGATTTCGTCGTAATTCAATCTGCTCTTCTGGCTTACATTGACATGACTGAGAGCTAATTACGGCCAATTTCAGAGTTTAGCGAATAAGAGTCAAGCGCCTTTATGACTGTCGTTGATGAAAATCTCTCTCATTCTGCATTGGAAAAATACTAAATGCGAATTTCATGAATGGGCTTGTTGGGGAAAGATACCTCCAATTTTTCATCAATTTTCAATCTATTCATATTCTACATATTTTCAACAGTAATATGGGCTTGTATAGCTTGTCAAAGTGAGTCTTTCACTTATTTATGCGCAGGCTACAGCTACAGCTACTGATGTCCACTGATATACCAACAGGTTTATTAATGGTGTGTTGAGAATTACCAGAAGCCTCATACCATTATTTTTTAATTAAAGTTCAATGAAAAAAAAAATTGTCAGATTTTGAAATTACTCATTCAAAATACAATTTCCTAGCTCGACATTAACATAATCAGTTTGGCCCATTTTATCTAACTAATTTAGATTTAAATTGCGATTATTATTAAATCGATTTATTTGCATTTCATTTGAATCGAAATCCAAAATCAAGACTCATTAACATAAATATAAATACGCGTTTCATGCCAATTGTTTAATAAGCATCTAAAATGCACAATTAATATAAATAAATTGGATGCCTCACACACATACAAACACAGACACTGTATACACAGTTAAAACTAATCAGTTCTGTGTATATTTACAGAAACTTACCATCTGTAAGTACGAATATATATATATATATAAATATGCATGCAGCGATATATAACTACACTCCATCTGAGGTGTGAGAACCACATTTATTTATTTAGATATTTATGGTGGGCACACGGCCCAATTGTTGATTGCAATCAATAAATTCGTTTTGATTTCAATTTACTTTTAGCTTTGCAAAACATCAACGCCAAAGAACAATAAATCACGGTGCTCCATCAAGGGAACAGACAAAAATAATCAAATTATTGTTTGTATGTATGCAAGTAGAGGTAAAAATTACCCATTAAACCAAAAATTTTTGATATGCAATTAAAATATATTTATGTATATTGGCAGTATTTACAAGTTGGTTCCATTTGGTTTTTTTATGACTATTTTAATAAAGCACAGAAGCTGGCATATTAAAGTACTAAAAATTACTCGCTTCATTTTCGCAATAAAAGTGGCATAAATTATATTGTAAATTAGTTTCAAAACTGTTGTGAGATTTGCATATTATTCAAAAACATATATAGGTGTACAACTTTGCTTCCGCCGTTTTCCGATAGGTCGCTGTACCGGCTGGGGCTGGTTGAAATACATAGATGATATTGCCTTTAAAATGAGTGTGGACAGTGCCTAACGAATTGTCATCGCCGTTTCAGTGACAGTTGTTCTTGTTTTCGTATTATTCACGCTCGAAAATGTCCGTTTATGTGCCTAATTCTCGCCATTTGCGGGAAGTTTTACTTTTCTGTTGAAGATTCGTGCCAAACCCAAGAACAGCTTGCCGAGTCGTTGCGAGTGAGTCAGCAAGCCATTTCAAAATGTCTCAAGGACCTGGGCATGATTCAGGAAGAAGGAAACTGGGAGCCGTACGAGTTGAAACCGAGGGACATCGACGCAAAAGTGGTCTAAAAGTACCTGGAAATGCTGAAATGGGAAGTCTTGCCCCACCCGCCATATTCCTCAGATGTCGCCCCTTCTGACTTCCACCTTTTCCGTTCGATGGCATACGGCCTGGCAGATCAACATTTTCAATCCTTCGAAGAAATGGACTGCGTCAAAAGAGGACTCCTTTTGTCGAGCCGGGATCCGAAAATTGCCGGAAAGATCGGAGAAAGTTGTCACTAGCGAAAGACAATACTTTGAATAATATATCTGAAAGCACTTTTTCGCAATAAAGCTTTTACACCTGATATATAAAGTTGCAATAAATTCTATTTTATTTTAAGATATTTCTTTTGTTTTAATAAACTTGATTATTTGTATTTTTTTTACTTTGCCTGACTTAGTTTGAGTTAGTTTTTCTTACTTTAATTTATTTTAATTAAACTTGATATAATTTTAATCTATTTCGTTTTCTTTTATTGGAAGTTTATTTTTTTAATTATTTTCTCTACTTCTCATTTCTATTTACTTTTTCCAATTTAATTCATTTTATTTTCATTTATATATTTTTTGTACTTCAATTTACCTTATTTATTTTAGGTTGGATTATTTGTTAATTTGTTTTCTTTCGTTTTAATTTCTCTTTCTTTTAATTTATTTGATATAATGCGAATTTATAATCAATAGTTTTTGCGTGGGTTTGTTTTATATCTATTTTAGAATTTTGTTTCTTTAGCTTTACTTTAATTTATGATAGCTTAAATTTTTTCAGTTACTTGTGTGTATGTTCTTTTTTGTGTTTTTCTTTCGTTCAATTCGTGGCTTTTAATTGAAAAAAAAAGCATTTTTATTTTTTTATATATCATAGCTTAAATTTTTAATATCTTTTGCTTCGCTTAATTCAATAAAATTTGATTTGTGCATAAATTATTATTAAGCTTTTATACTTTACTTTGTTTTATTAGATTTCAATACAAAATTTTTTATTTCATTCCAATTCAAAGTAATTTATTTTATTATTTTTGCCCATATTGTTTTATACCAATTAATCCCTTTTTTATTTCTTCATTTTGTTTTAAATTGTTTAATGTTTTTTGCTTTGGTTGATTCTGTTTTATTTTACATGCTTTCTTATTTATATAAGTTCATTTATTTTTTTTAACTTAATTTTGCATTATTTAGTCTCGATTTTTTTAATTGTTTTAATTTTTGATTTCGGGTTTTTATTTATATTTAGTTTGAGATTTTATAAATTTATTATAATTTGTTTTATTTGGCTTAATTTAGTTTGGTTTTGTTTTATGTTAGTTTACTTTATATAATTTTGTTTTTAAAACTGTTTAATTTTTCATTTTGTTTTATTTATATTTCTAATTGATTTTTTTATATATATTTTTTTCCTTTTATTTGCTTAAATTCATTTTGTTTTGGTTTATTAGATTACATTTTTTATACAATTTTTTATTTTATTCCAATTCCAATTAATTTATTTCATAATCTTGGCCTATTTTGTTCTATTTGAATTAATCATTTTATATTTCTTTATTTTTTTTAAATTGTTTAATGTTATTTGATTTGGTTAAGTTGGTTTAATTTTCCATGCTTTCTTATTTATATAAAATTATTTATTTTCTTCTAACTAATTTTGCTTTATTTAGTATGGATTTTTGTTAATTATTTTAGTCTTT